TGCTGCCCATATCTGCAAGGAATTTGCATGTTCTCCCTGGGCTTGCGTGGGTTTCCTCCCACTCTCCAAAGACATGCTGGCAGGTTAATTGGCTCCTCTCGAAGTTGGCCCTCTATGTATGCATGTGAGATGGGGACCTTTAGATTGTAAGCTCCTTGAGGGTAGGGACTGATGTGAATGTGCAACTATGTAAAGTGTTGCGCAAATTGTCGGCACTATATAAATACCTATAATAAATACCGTCAGGAGAAGTCATCTGCACTGTCTTTCTCTGTCTTGTATCGCTCAGTAAGACGTCTGCACAGATATCAGAAGAGAGACTGACCAGCACATAATCAGTTGGAGATATGGCAGCATGCATAGAGGGATCTCCAGTATGCCTGCTATTTAAATGTTGCCTTCAGCAAAAAGCTTGTCTTTGTGTATTTCATGCCAGTACTATTCTGTGTAAAAGCAAACCAGTTTTGGAAATCTACAGAACATTGTCTAGAGACTGCAAGAACAGATTAACAGCTTCTTCCAGAATTAATTATCCTTTTCTGTCCCTCAAACATACTTGCCTCCATAAAAATATAGCAAGGAAAACTCCATGGTACAAAATGTAATCATTTTGAAAACTTTTAAAAGTATATTTTCTCTAAATGGTTCACATTTGCAGGCTGGATATTCACCAGGAACTGCTTTATTCACCCTTTTTTCTTTTTTTTTACATGGACTGATTCTCTTGGGGTTAACAAGGATTACTTGGAGAACTGGAGAATTTGTCTGTTTTGGACCTCTGGGATATTGTAGAGGAAACCCTTTGCTATTGCAGGTCCTGAGTTTTGTCAGTACAGAGTGCATTACCTGCTGGAGTAATATGGTTGTGGCATCTATAATGTGAAAAATTTGGTTGCTGTCAGATCTGGCCTGCATATCAAAATGCTGGCTCTTTCTGTCTGCTGCAACCTGAACCCAAATACGTTTGTAGTTAGCACTGCCATTGAAGCACACACATTCCAGGTCAGCTTAACCAGCCTTTCTCAACCAGGGTGCTGCATCACCTGAAGTACCTGGAGTGATCTCCTAAAGTAAAAGGGGATTCTGATGGCAAGGGGGCTCCTTTTATTTGAGGTGAGGGACTAGAAAAGTAGCATTTCAGAATTAGATCAGCAGCGCCTTTGGTTCCTAAAGTGCAAAGGTCCTTAATGGGAGGCATACTTATTGCCATGGGAGTAGGATAGAACATGGCTATGTGTTTTAGCAACTATAGGCTCTTTAGGGCTTTTTTTTTTTTTTGCACCACATGGTAGTCTAGCTACAGCAATAAAGGTTTAAATTTAATAGACTTGGACAGACATTGCCAAGTGACCCATTCTAACAGGAGTTGGAGAATCTGTTCCTTTATACATTGGTATCAGACAAGGTTTATTACCTCACAGTAAACTTAGTAAAGGACTGTTGTCTGCTATACATATATCTGATCACTATTTGAGCTCTCCAAAAAGGTCCTATTGGCAGATTCTAGCCATGCACGGTGGAATTCCTTATAGCAGTCTACAGTCCCCAGATGTAAGCATACCTCAGGAACTGTGCACTTTTGTTCTTGTTCAGGATGTGCAAGCAGGGAACTTTAGAAATATGTCTGAGGGAAACTTGCTTATACCTGGGTGCTTTCTTTCTGTTTTCACGGATGTCCCCTTTCACACAGTGTCTGTATCAGATGAGATGAACTGCAGTAATATGCACTACATGTAGTACTTTGTGTCCATGACATCTTCACTATAGAGCATTAACATGGATTGATTCTATTGAGCTCATGGTTATGTCATCAGACCTGTGTTAATGAACCCTTTACAGCAGGAAATACATTTATCCTAAGAAATGTTTCAGGTTAATGGAAGGTAAAGAGCATCCATTAATGTTGTGGGTTCATGTTTTTTTCTGTAATAAACCCATATAAAGTTGTTCTTTTCCTAAATAGGGTAGTTATAACTGACAATCATGCATTGTACACAAGTCGAATGACAATTGTGGTTGCCTTGGGTAATGTGACTATTATTACTCTTATTGAGTAAGCCTGATCATCCTTTATCAACAGAAGAGTAAGTAATCCAAATGATTAACTTTTGGCGGATATAAATTCACATTCACAATGTTTCCATTACTAATGGTAATTTAGTTAAATATACTGAACTATTGTAAGCTATGCCCTAGTCTCGTGAAACATGATCTAGTAGATAGTATGTTTTGGCAGAAAATGTTCACTTGAGTTGTTTCAGGGACAGTAAGTCCCACTAACAGCTGTTGGCAAATAGACCCAGGTTTCTAAATGTACTTGGCCTAGTGGGGTTCCCAGCTGCACAGTAAAGATCTTAACACTGTAGATCTGTTGCGTGACTCCAGCGCCAAAAGCAAAGTCCTGGCTGCGTCTGCTGTGACTGAAACAAATCCTGAAGCATTGATCAGTCAGAATAAAGGGGGTTATCCGGGCAAAAAAAAAACCTTATGGAAATCGATTAGCACTCTTACATATTCCTCGTGGGCTTCTGTGCTGAAAATAAAACTGCAGTATGTATAGTGCATGTCTTAACTACATCTGACATTTTGTAGCCAGTAGAGCTCTGCAAGAAATGTTCTTTATTTCCTTTACTACTGTCAAGTCTGGATACTTCTTAATTTACATAATGGGAGTTCTTCAAATATACAAACTGACATTTTAATTCTTTTGTACTATTCACATAAACCATTAGCTATGATATGTTTGTAGTATCAGCTGTTTCTTACAGCTGCTAGAAGAAAACTGTGATAATGAGAAGGTGTTCACTTTTTAATCTAGATTTTATATATTGTTCTTTTTATTTTGCATTCTAATCTTGGGACTACTGTCAACTAGCTTAAAACTCAGAAGTCAAATACAGATAAATAGCTTGTATACAAGATCATCTTGGGACACATTCTGAGATTCATTCACATTGACTATGGATGAATAAGAGCAAAGAAACGTGAAGAAAAGCAATGATAAATGCATGTGTTTTTTACAAGATGTTTTTTTTTTTTAAATGTAGAAACCTATTTTCATACCCATCAAAATGTATTACAGGCTATCGCAACTAAGTAACGCTAAACTCAGGGGTTAAATCTCAAAAATGCATTCAAGCATCTTGATTAACAGACCTGCGGATTGCACCGCCACACAGCATAAAGATGAATAAATGTCACCAGCACACAACCAGTATTGCAGTCGAAAGTTTGTTTATTGGAACGTCATGTCACTAAAACTAGCGCTTTCGGGGCCACGCAGGGCCCCCTTCATCAGGCTCAGCAATGGCTCTTGCTGAGCCTGATGAAGGGGACCCTGCGTGGCCCCGAAAGCGCTAGTTTTGGTGACATGACGTTCCAATAAACTCTTTGGACTGCAATACTGGTTTTGTGCTGGTGACAATTATTCATTTTTATGCTTTGTGGCGGTGCCATCCGCAAGTCACTACAAGCACTCCCCCCTCATTCAACTTTTGTTTGTGTTGTAAAGTAGCCACCACTCCAAACTCGCTCTTGTGATGGACTACAACCTCAATACATATTAGTAGATCAAATGTGAGATTGTAGTCCCTTACGGGAACAAGCTTGGAGCGTTGTCTACTTTACAACACGCACACAGGGACCATGGGAAACCAAAGTAGGTACCCTCCAGAAGGAAGGACAGTGTTGGCACTAACTCGGAGATGCTTTGAGGATTTGATGCACAAATCTACATTTTTGTTAATAGCTGAGTTACTTTAATGCATTTTTAGGATTTACCTCCACAGTTTAGTGTCACTTTAAGTCTACCCATGGATGGCCATATCACTCACAGAGGACTTCGAGCAGTGGGAGATCTTTCTATTGTCAATTGCAACTTTTCTCCCCAATCTGTGTTTGAATGTGCTGTCAAGCTAACTGCAGGCCATATAACCATACAATGCTTGACTGTCTCAAGCAATGTCTAAACTGATTGCAGCATGTAACAATATATGGTTATTTTAACTCCTACTGCTTAAAACTAGTGATGGGCTCGGGCGTGTTCGCAGCTCCACGTGCCGAGCCTGCCAGGAAGCTGGCAGCGCCAATCACAGGCACGGAGACATTTCCCGATCTCTGGAGCTGCGGACCGGCATAATGTCTCAGTACCTGTGATTGGCGCTGCCACCTTCCTGGCGGGCTCGGCACGTGGAGCTGCAAACACGCCCGAGCCCATCAATACTTAAAACCCCTGTACACGTCTAAAACGTATAATGGTAAATGCTGATGGGTTGAGTCACTTGTGGCCATTTTATGTCTCCCTGGCTCTAATGGCGGACTCTTCTTGCTATAGTTTCTGTCTGTTATCCACCATTAAGGAGTCTTGCTTCTTGCTGCAAAAATTGTGAATTCGCCATACTCACTTTGCCACTTGATGGAACATGTAAAAATCCAACTGCAAGTAAAACCTCTGATTGTTTTCGGCAGAAGTAGTGTTCAAAATTGTCAGTTGACTTGTTTTGAACTGGCAGTGTTCATTTTTTCAGAAGTTGCTGCAGAGATGAATGCAGCACCATGTATGCATAAATCATGGCGACTAACTCCCTTGTGAGACTTGTTATTTTTATTAAAAGCCATTAAAGACATATTTACCTTTTTTAAAAGCAAGACATGGAAAGCATTGACAGACATCTTAGCAAACAAATGAAGATTTACTGTAGAAATTGTATACATAATTTATATAACTGTTTGCTTTTCTTTTAGTATTGTTAAATTGCTACTAATAACATTTTGTTTATGGGAGTCAAGTGTTCATGTATTTAAAGTTACACTTTTTTTTTCTTTGCATGATTGTGATGTAACTTCCATTGTTAAGGGTATACATAATTATCACATACAGTAGATATTTAGGAAGAAACCCATTAAAATGTGGGATTTTATATAGTTAAATAATCCTAATCATTCTGCATTGTAGTTACACATATGCAAATACAATAAACGTGTTTTATTTGGAAATACAGAGAGGAAGATGATATTAATGATGTCACATCTATGGCTGGTGTTAACCTGAATGAAGAGAATGCCTGTATTTTGGCAACCAATTCTGAACTTGTTGGTGCTGTGATCCGGTCTTGTAAAGATGAGCCTTTTCTCTTTGCCTCTGCCCTGCAAACTCGAATTCTAGACATAGGTAAGAAAACACAAGGTAGGTAATCTACATAAAAAGCCTACATGTCATTACTAATGCCATACTCTTTACCTGGGTTGGTCTTGCAAGCGTTCAATGGCTTAATTACTTTGAGGTACTGACCCAGAACAAGTATGCTGATTTAGGTATTCTAACTTCACTACCAGCATATGTTCCCGGTCAGTGACCATCTTTTCAGAAGCCTGTTGGTAATGGCAGCCAATGAATTTTATCTCCAATGTACAAATTTCAAACACAAACTAAGTTCGATCTACTAAACTGGGAATATAAAGTAACCTAAGGTAGCTTTTTGTGGAAAAAATATATGCCTAATGTTTATGGGATTTCCCATACCTCTGTCACACACAAATTGAGAAGATTAAAGGCTGGATATTGCCATTATTTTCTCAGAGCATATGGTCATTTGTGAGGCTTGGCAAAGACACATCATGACCTTCTGACAAGGATTTTAATGCAGATCATAAAACAGATAAATCTGGGTTTTGGTTTATGGGTGCCACTAGTGATTACAGTAGGTTATACTGTTTTATACCTAATCTGCCCAAAAAAGCCATACATCAGAAGGAAGAGATCCTGGCTGATCAGTATCTGGTTGACTGTGATTGAATATGGAATAACTGGGATGGTAGATCAGACTGTTTCAATGTTGTGTAGGTTAATACCTACCTTAGACCTCTGAAGGTCTGTATGCTGAACTAGAAAAAGGGAGAAAGGTTTGGTTTTCTCCTATTTCTCTGGCTTCTCAGCTGTTTGTTCTGGGTGTCCAGTTACCCTGTCCTTGCAGCATAGTAGTAAAGAACTGCCATCAGCAGACTTTAGAGCTGTACCTGCTGCCTGGATTTGGTAAACTTTTTATGCTATATTGTACTATATTTTTTTCATGAGTGAGCCATAAAAAAAAAGCTATCCAAAATTCAATCTTTAATCTTGAATGTGTGCTTTTGACTTTAAATATCTGCTTAGTTTGTCACAACTGATCTTTAAATATAATATGGGTATTTCCGGGTGATATATGGTGACATTTCTGTAGTCATTAACATATATGGTTTGGTATTGGTTTTAATAAAATAAAAAACATAGGCAGGTAAAATTATGCATGAAATACATTTTTCTGTATTTCTGACCAACTGCCAAGCGTCTGTTTTTACTTATTGAAAATCTATAAAGTGCCTAGTGTATATACAGTATATCTGTTCTTTTTCAGCTTCTAAATTTATGTGATGCCTGTAATATATTTTTTTTTTTCCTCCTTTTGACGTGATGGCTTTGATTTTGCCTGCTTAATATTGGTGTCCTAACTCTGACCTTGCAAGCAGATATATTCTGAAGGCCAAGTGAAACATTGCCTATACTTTGCAGAGCTCCAGGCTAGTTTTATTAATGCAGTGTCTAATATCTTTGAAGTTTTGAGTGTAGCAGGAAAATCATAATCTACAAGCCTCTATTCTTAATGGGTATGACTTCTAGAGGGAACAGAATACCTGCTGTGCTAATTATTTCAATTATCAGCTCCCACTAAAACATGTAATGGATTTTCTCTGCTTCCACAGGTAAAAGGCATGATATTAAGGAACTTAACTCTGATGTTATGAACCTACTCTCCCATGCCACACAAGAGCGGTTGCGAGGGCTTATTGAAAAGCTGACTGTGGTGGCACAGCACAGGTCAACAAACTACAAGGTAACATCAGCTAGTTTTGTGCATACTAATGGAACCATTTTCATATGTATCCGGATGAAGTGGCACAATTTTAGGGAGGCACACTGAGTAACTGGCATTTCGAAAAAAATATATTCGGGATTTTGCTCCACTAAAGGGCCTTTCCCCTCCTTTTAGTTTCTATAATGTAATTTCCATATTAATGCCTGACCTTTTTGTGTGGTGACCATTTCTGGTGTGGTATATGTTTGCGTGCGTTTGTTTGTTCATTAAGGGACACGGAATAGGTTATTCAGGAACAATTCAGTTATATTGCCACCTTAAGGAGGAATTGGATTCTGGCAAAGGAAAAAAAAGCTATGGACCAGCCAGGTATAACTCCCCCCACTTCCATCATGATTCAGTTTTTATAGTGCCCTAGGAGGATTGATGACCTTGTTCTACTGTGAAAAGTGTTACCATTTTCCCCAGTCATCTTCCAGGGCAGCCAATGAGAGAAGGCTCCGCCTGCCTGCAACAGGAAACGCATCAACCACAATAAAAAGGCACTTCCTTCCACCCCAATTCAGTTTTTTTTTTGTGTTTCCTCCGGCTACACAGGGACATTGTAATGTTTGTTATTTTTAGGGCTCATTTTCTATTTGCCTCAGGGCAGAGCCTAACCCTGATATGCGTTGGGACCTACTCCAGGCTTTGCCTGCTGCAGCGCATACAGGGATCCCTTATCGGACCCCCATCTGAGATGAGACCAAGGTTCCCCTCCCTCATTCAGGGAGGGCATTGACCCCTGTCCAGGCACTTACCAGGAAGATGGACGCTAGGCTGCCTCCGGTGACTTGTACTGGTGGCCGGGAGCGATGCGGAAGTGCGTTGTCAGCTGCTGGGACCGCCGTTGCCGCCTCCTACACACAGCACTTGGCGCGTCATCAAGTGGGGCCTCTGCCTCAGTGACGCGTTTCCGGTGCGCTGTTTCCGGGTTCCGGAACGCCAGCCTCGTGCTGGTCTGGCGCATAAAGGCCCCTGGAGGCTAAACAGCCGGGATGTGAGGACCTGTGAGACACCTCTCATAGTAACGCCGCTCGGCCACGACTACTACAGCTGCACACCTCAAAGCCGACCGGAACCACATACGGCCGGTGGGGACGTTAGTATCCGGGGGACATGCGTTGTTGGACGACGGAGGGGATACTATGGTACATTTGGTAGCCTTCGGTCCTAGAGGGTACTGAATTGGGGTGCCTTTTTATTTAATGTGGTTGATGTGTTTCCTGTTGCAGGCAGATGGAGCCTTCTCTCATTGGCTGTCCTGGAAGATTCCTGGAAACAGGGTTATCAGGTAATCAACTCATGTTTTATTAGTCATTTTCCCTTTTTTTTATATTTTTAAGATTCTGCTTTTCTTCAATTAAGGCTTCATCTACATGCTGTTGAGCTGGGAGCTTTGTGTAGCTATCTGATTCTGCTTATCCTCCACTGTAGCTTGGGGGCCATACCATACCACCCCCGGACCGATGATTGTGGAGTCTGGAATGTGACCTTCGGGCAAAGGCTCTGCTTGTGGTGCTTTCCAGACCTCTTTGTACTGTGCTAGCCGCAGAGTGCTTTCCAGTTCCAGAGCAGTAGCACTTCCTTTGATGTGACCAAGTCTCAACAGACTTGTTAATGAGAACGCTGAATGGCCTGAGCATTGGGAGCTACAATATTTTTTGGTACCACTGAGCGCCATTATTATATATTTGTTTCCCCATGAAAAGGGTTAACGCGCTGCAGTTAGTGAAGCACAGCTTCACTTACTGCAGGATTGCATACATGCTCACCCTAGGTTCTGTTCAGTCTTTTCTGAGTGAGGTAGCTACTTCCCATCATTTCTCCTATTTGTAAGATATGCAGTTCTGTCTTTGTTATTCTTTGCTGTAGTATTCCAAACACACCTCCAAGACGACCACTGCCTTGCTAAGGAAGCTGAGGGTAAAGGTGATGGGCTGGCCAAGCATGCCTCCAGACCTAAACCCTATTGAGCACCTGTAGGGCATCTTCAAACGGAAGGTGGAGGAGAGCAAGGTCTCTAACATCACCAGCTCCGTGATGTCGTCATGGAGGAGTGGAAGAGGAAGACTCCAGTGGCAACCTGTGAAGCTCTGGTGAACTCCATGCCCAAGAGGGTTAAGGCAGTGCTGGAAAATAATGGTGGCCACTCAAAATATTGACACTTCGGTCCCAATTTGGACATTTTCACTCAGGGGTACTCACTTTTGTTGCCAGCGGTTTAGACATTAATGCCTGTGTTGAGTTATTTTGAGGGGACAGCAAATGTACACTCACTACTTTAGATTGTAGCAAAGTGTCATTTCTTATGTGTCGTCACATGAAATTATTTAATAAAATATTTACAAAAATGTGAGGGATGTACTCACTTTGGTGAGATACTGTATCTACTGCTTATTAGCAGTAGATACATGCCAAAAAATAGACTTGAATTGTACTTTATGTTGCCTCTGTTAAGCAGTGCAATATAAATGATCCTAAGTGCAAGGGGAGCAGTTCTGCTGAATAGAATCTCTTCAGCTCACAATCCACTAACCTTTCCAGGGCAGTATGCAGTGTCCCACTTCAGGGACTTGACACTGACAGCCTGGATCATTGGCCTGCTTTAGTCAATACATTCCTTGAAGTCATCTTTAGGACCATCAGGTGTGACCCACTCCTCTGCCTTTATCTTTTTCTTTTTATAGGCCTAACTGCAACTATGTTTGCAACTTAAAAAGCAGAGGCTTTAAGCACAATTTTACGTCATCTCCAATCGAATGTGTGTTGGACATACCTGCAGCTGTGGTGGCCTCTGAGCTTTCTGTTTCTAAGGTTCTGAAGAATCTCTTAAATTCTTGGTGGATTTGTTTGTGCCTAAGGAGCTGCAGCCATCTGTGTCATAGCTTCCAGGCTTAAAACCATTTTGGCTGTTATTGATGGGGTGTGTGGCACCTTACAATTAGAGAAGCCTGTAGCTACTACTAGTGTTTTTACTAGTCTGGGATTCCTGCAAGGCCCCCAAAACTGTCAAAGCATTTCCATTACATTTCTTACTTGGACCTGCTCTGCATGTTGACTGGAAAACCCCTTATGAACTACTCCCTAAACTCTTTACAAACGAATACCCATTTGAGGAGGCATTTACCAAGAAGCTAGTTGTTCCCACTGTAGATCCAGCGATATCTTGCCTTAATGAAACAGTGACCTTGCCTGTTGAGGATGCACCAGTGCTTAAGGATCCTATTAACAAAACATTTCAAAACCTTTTACTAATCATTGATTTTTCTAGCAGGCCTTGCTATGCAACTTGCCATAGCTGTAATGTCATACCCTAGGGGGATAGGCTAAATAGATGTCAAAGGATCCAGCTACTATCATTGCATATCTTGTATTTGTAGATTGCTTAAAGCTTATGCCTACAGCCCTTTGCTGTTGAGTAGACTGTTTCATCCACATTGTCCTCCTTTCCTGTCATATCTGTGAATATGCTGATAATTCTTTGGCTAAAATGTTGGTCTGCAAAACAACAGTGTTAAAAGTGCTTGTTACATGCCCTCATGAAGGATGTCGCCGGGGGTAGAAAGTATTTATTTGCCCCAGCAAAAGAAGCCTAGGGCACAAACTGGAAAGACTTCCTCCCTCTCTGAGGCTAATAAGGTTTTGTGTCCAAAAATGACGCATTGAATCAAGACTGTAACTCTGCAGTTCAGAAGCTGTCTGACAGTTCTGGACCTGATGGTTGCCTCCATGGCATTTGCTCAATTCCACTCCAGACTCCAACACATTGTCATCATGCGACAAATCTGTTAATTCTCTAGACAAACCAACTCATCTGACACCAAAGACCAGATTATCTGGCCTGGTGGGTCAGGAATACAGCTCTGCAGTTAGGGAAATCCTCCCTCCCACTGTCTTGGAAGATCATCATAATGGATGCCAGCCTAATAGGCCAAGTAGGAGTCCTAGACACATTGTCTTAGCAGAGGACTTAATCAACTGCAACGCTGGACACCCAGACTCCAACTGCAATGACCTAAATCAACCAGCTGAGAGGGACCAGAGGTCTTGCCACAGCATGAGAGGCAGAACGGATTTTAGCCTAGGTAAAACTCCACATTCCCACCTTGTCTGCCGTTCAAATTATAGGTGTAGACAATTGGCAGACATACTACCTCAGCTGGTAGCTCCTAGATGCAGGGAAGTTGTTCTTACACCTGCAAGTCTTGCAGGACCTGGGTCATAGGTGGGGGGATAACCGATGTTGACCTTCCATCCTCCAGGTTCAACACTAAATGACACAGGTTTGTCACCAGATACAGAAATTCTCTGACGGAAGCAGCGTATGGACACTGTGGGATCAGTGCATGCTGATTTTATGCCTCTAAAACACCTTGATCATCAGATCGAGATGATGCAGGGCATTCCATGAGTTCATATATCTGGACTTGCCCAGGTGGATATTTTACTCTTGCATGCTCCAACTTCTGGCAGACCTTCCAGATTTACCAGATCTATCTAAAGTACCTGTTTACCACCCTGCTTCATGACTGCTGGCATTAAAGGCATGGCTGTTTAAAGCCCAGAACTTGAGACGTGTCCCTCTGATTTGGTAATTCCTAGGCAGTTAAAAGCTAGGAAATCATGTAAGGCAGGGGCGCCCACAATTTTTCGTCTGGAGATCTACTTTTGAAATGATGAGCTCAATGAGATCTACCAACGAAACACCTGCGTTCATAGATGGGAGGGGGCGTGGCGGTGAGTTGAAGTCAATGGCACCGCAGCCAGGCCCCTCGCCCACAGTGCGATCGCCTGCACCCGGAACCCAGGCACATAAGTGCCAGCGTTCCGGTCTAGTGCGATCCGCAAAAATGCTGCAAGCACTATTTTTGTAGATCACACTGGACCGGAATGCAGACACTAATGTGTCTGCCTTCCGGGTGCAGGCGATTGATCTGTGGGTGGGGGACATGGCTGCGGTGCAACCCCCACGGCCCCTGAACGCAGGGAGTCAACCGGCTTGCATTCCAGTGCGTTCTAGTGGCGCTGGCATCCTATCCTCCCGCGGTGCTCGTGTGGCCGACGTTGCACACGGGGAGATGTGTCTCGCCCCTTTCCGTCTGCGGCGTCTCACGCATTCAACCGGCAGCAAAGACTTCAATCTCTTTTCTGCAGCCTCTGTTCTAAATGAATGGAAAGCACAGAGGCTTCCCATTCATTCAGAAACGATTTATTATCACCAGTTTCTGAATGGGGAGAAGCCTCTGTACAGAGTGCTTCTCCCCATTCAGAAACTCATGAATGAACAAGAAGTGATGTAAATCACATCCTGTTTATTCATAACTGGGGGACACTTAGTACTATGTATCCCCAGTTATTTACAAACACTGGAGTGATCAGCTGATCACTCCAGTGTTTGTCCTGCACAGTGGATTGGTACATATCACTGATATGCACCGATCCTCTGCTGCTCGGCCATGCACACAGGGGGGCTCACTCTGCAACTTCTCCTCTGGATCCCCCGCTGCTCTCCCGGGCAGAGGCAGCGGGAGATCCGAGGAGAAGTGAAGGAAGCACTTCAGCCGCCGGGGGGCGGGGGACTGAGCCGCAGTCACAGCAGCATGTGTGGTGAGGAGAGCGAGAGCCACCGGCTATCAGATCCAGGCCGAGCGGCTCTCCTCACCGCTCGGCGTGCTGCTGTGATAGCGGCTCCGTCCTTTGCCCACCTACGCCGACTGCAGCTTCACTTTTCCTCGGATCCCCGCTGCTACAGATGGGGGAGAGCAGCGGGGATCCAGAGAAGACGGGACATCGCGATCGCTGGTAGATTGCGATTGACCTAATGGGCAGCCCTGATGTAAGGTATACCACTGTACATAATACATGGAAGCCTTTACTTCACTTAATGCAAGCAAAGATTTCCCCTCAGGAAATACTCCATGGGAAAAATCCCAGCTTTCTTGTGTTCCATCGATATGGAACAGCTCTTGTCCTTGACTGCCATCAAGGGACAAATCTCAGCCCTTTTGTACATGGTGGCTCTCATGTGGGCCCTTCTGTACAACCACCTGTGATACTGTAGGATATAAATCTGTTTCTGCCAGCACTCCAGAGACTGCCTTTTGAACCTGATGGGGATATTTTCTTTGCCACATTCACTCACCAGGTTGTTGCCATCATCTTTGCAAGGTGTGCTTCTGAGCTAGTAGCCTTGTCCTGTAAATAATTTGATCCTTTGGATATTCAGACCTCCTATTATGCCAGTTTTGGGCGTTAGGTTCTTTTAGGCATCTCTTTGCGCTGCCTCAGTTTTGTTACGTGGGACTGTTAGGGTGGGGTTCCTTTTCAGTTGGTGGACCCAGTTGTCTCTGAATAACTGGTTTCAGTGTCCCTTAATGAATGATTAAGAAAACAAGATTTTTGTACTTACTGTAAAATCCATCACAAATAATGGATCACAAACCTCCCACTGTGTTTGTGATCTGCAACTAAGCTACAAAACTAAAGCATGATGGGAGTGGTTATACTAATTTGTGGCAGTATAACCCAATTGTCTCTGAAGAACTAATTCCGGTGTCCCTTAACGAAACTGAACTTATGAAAAGTACAAAATTTCCTGTTTTTTGTGAAGGATTGTTACTTTCGTGATCACTATACATTCCTAATTGATGAGTTTAGAAAAAAGGTGGGTGTAAACTGGTATGTAGGCTGGAATATATTGCAGTAGGGCCAGTTATGTATATGTTTCCCCTGCCTGTAGCTCCAGGTTTTATTAGGATGGGTGGCTGCAGTTTTCGATTCCACCTGCATTAGGGGTAAACTGTTGATAAAATAATGAATTGTATGAAGCAAATAAAAACACATGTTAATCCTATGAGCACCTTGGTTTTGAAGTAATTGGCAAGATCCTGCAATGCTAATCGGACCAATGAGATCTGTGGGAGCTCAGCAGAAGGTGCAGGGGGAATCTGAAGCCCATGCACAGTCCTGTAACTATCATAAATATCCCATTTAGTCTTTACACCAGAGGTAAAATCTCACTTTTTGGGGGGCTCCAAAGCTACTTGTTCACATGAGGCAAGGTAGCAAGATATTCCTTACTATTACTGCAGTTTTGGAAGATTTATTGCTGCATCATCATATCTGAAAAGTTGGCCTCTAACTAGCTAAGCAGCATTAAGAGCAACACAAGCAGAATGATTGGGGATTGCTAGTGTTGATAAAAGGAAGGGCCATGAACACAAAGTAATTGTTGACCTTGCACTGTGCCAAAGTGTAAAAGGCATCTCTATTTTCTGTTAATGTGCTACTAACTTGGTCATATAGCTAACCATGAACTGGATTTTTGTTGCCATTGGTGAGCACATGACATAATTTGTGCCATGTGTAAGGATATGTGTTTTTTTTGTTTTTAGCAAAGTGATCGCTATGTACAGTCCAGTGAAGTTCGGGCACAGCTTAAGTTTCTTGAGCAACTTGAGCACTTGGAGAGACAACGCAAACATGAAGAAGAAAGGGAGATGCTTCTCCGAGCAGCAAAGGTAAGAGGATCATTTCACTGTGACTCTCGCGTTTCCCCATGTTTTATCCCGTTAAACGAGCTGCAAGTACAGAGAAACGAACTATGTGCCAGAAATAGTGTGCTCATAACTTCCTTTTTGACTTGACAACATGGTTCTGAATTCCTAAGCATGTGCTGTCAGCCCTGCCTACTTCATTTCATACCCCTCTTTGTGCACAGGCCGCAAGCATAGGGAGTTATCAGCTCACACGATTTGTGACAGTCAGCAGGTATTTTGGCACTTCTGAAACAGATGCAACAAAAAGCTTTAAATGTGTTTGGCAGACCAAAAGGGCGCAAATAAGATAAGTTCATTGTTGGGGTTTACATTTACTTTAACCCTTAAAGTTTGTCTAAATCATGTGATACCTGTGATGGTGTTTCCTGTATGACTATGGAAGAAACCATGTAGGTGGGTAAAGCGTTGACTCAGCTAATCAGGTTGCCACATGCTTTAATGAGGAGCTCAATTAATCATATACTGTGCTCTGGTAATCTTGATGGCAGGTTAATGAGCCCATGTTCTACAGTGTTCTCTACTCTTGTGGTATTAATGTGATGTGGTGGTATTGCCTGTATGTGCCTTGTCTTTTTCCAGCTTGCCTTCGGTTCTCGTGATGACTGAGGGAGTGGAGGAGAGGAGGGTCTTTTAAACAGATTAACTCTGAATTTTTGCCCTTGGGTAGTAAGTTTATTCTGTCACTTGTATACGTGTAATACATGACCAGTCACTAATTTAATTTACACCTGTTGTATATAATACTGTTATGAATTCGATATTCCAACATATTAGGTTTATAACATCTGCACACAGCAGGTTGGAGATTGTTTTGGTAATAAGTGTGCACAACAGAATGATATCTCCATAAATGTTGGCTGTTTATAGAAGACTTTACAGCCAGTATTTTGGGGGATTTGCGCCGCAACATTTCTATCATCATGGCGCATTTTTGTAATGAAATACAGTACAGAAGTGTAAATGTTAAGATTCTGTCAGAACTTCAGATGACCTTGATTATCCCTTCTGTTCACACCTATTAAAGGAATTCAGGACATTATGTGTATTATGCAGGACAATGCAATTCCTGCAACGGTTTAGACTGGTGCAAGATCAATTCAGGCATTCCAAAGCATTTATAGAAGAAGCCCTTGATTTGTAATCTTGTGCTTGTTGTTGACATCTGATATCTATAAGTCAGCCATGCCCCTTTAAAATTTATCTTGTTCACGAGAAAGTCAATAATTACTTGATTCTCCTGTTAACACTAAAGAGTGTGGGTGGAAGAATCTCCCCTCTCCCTGGCTATTGCCGACTGTCAGAATACCCAAACCTAATTGGCTACAGTTACTAGGCACTGTGTGAAAAGTGTTGACAAAAGTCAACCAAAAAAATTTGTTGAGGCAGCTACTGCTGGCAGGGGCCACCCATGGAACAATAAGTATCTGATTCGGCAGAAAATGTATGCCAGCTTTATTGTATGGCTTGTCAAGGTTTGTTTTTTGTTTTTTTGCTTTGGATAAAGTGGGTTAGGGTTGGATCTTTTTTTTACTGCTATCCAGAGGTCTAATGGAGAGATTTCGCCTCATTTGCTGTTGAAGTGACAACATTTTCCCCAAACACGAAGTAAAGGAAAATCTAGAATGGGAACTCCAGCAAATTAAAAGCTGACAGGTTCTAGCCTTCCCCTGCTCTACTGGAAAAAAATTGTCTTACGATTTTACCTAGTATTTTCAAAAGAAGGTATGCAGTGACTGTATTTCTTTCAGGACAGGTTTACTTTCAAAAACAGTGTATTTTCCTCCATAGAGAGCTTTTTTGTGTGATTCCTGCCTTAAATTAAATTACATTTTAACTCTTTCATATATGCCATGCATAGGAAATGAAATGATCAAAATTTAAAATAATCACTGTGAGAAGGTCATGCCTTTTACGAGACCTAAGTGAAAGCCCAAGCATCTCTGTGTGCTCCTTCGGGCTAGAAGTAAGGCATTCAGCCCGTATAGAAAATGAGAATAAAAATGCATGAGGGGAAGTCTTAGAAATCCTGGACTCGGGCACTTCCCCCCTGCAGCAAAGCTTTTTAATCACAGGAGAAAATTGTTATGCATTAAATATTTAATGGCCGCTGCATGTTTAAGAATGTAGTCAGTTTTGGAGTAACGCTTTAAGTGCCAGATTTCATCCAGTCCAAGTGAGTTAATTTAGGAAACCTTTGAAAGCGATCACTGCTGTGTTTTTTTTTTTTACATTTTTTTTTTTCTTTCTCTTCTGTCTTTTTACAGAGCCGTTCAAATAAAGAAGATCCGGAGCAAATAAGATTAAAGCAAAAAGCCAAAGAGGTACAAAGTAGGATTCAAACTGGGTTTAAGATTAAATGGTATCCTCATCGTGCTTTTATAGTGATTTGGATAGACGTGAAAGTGATTAGTCACAAAACCTAAAACAACAACCCTAATAAATGAAATATCATATAATCCTTATAACTATGCACAGAAATGGAGATATGACTTAACTTTGCTGCTCAGCTTTTTGGTCGGTGTCGGTTGACACATAGGGTGGCAATCATCAAAATTATTAGGCAATGTTTACAGTTCTGAGCATCCCTTGGGACAACTGGGCCATATCATCTCTACTAAGGGGTGCAGCAACTGGCAGCTGGTGTTTTAGTTACAACTTGTCATTGCACAATCACCGATCAGTTTGAGGCCATACATGTTTTTGGCAAGCCAGTAGGTCAGTATAATAGACTAGCAACTAGCATTTTCAGAGGTCATCATGATTTTCCCAGGGAAGGTTCACTCTTAGGAAAAAGTAAAAAAAAAAAAATCTCCAATCTTATGACAAATATGTAGCTTGCCCCAGCCATATTAAGTATGTTTTGCTTCCTTTCCTGTCTGTGGCCAAGCCTGATCGCAGCTGGATTTCTGTGACCGTGTACAGATGCCTTAGACTAAATGAGTCTCGCTAAAACTGGTCACTGAGCAAAACCTTTCCAGTTCAGTTATCTGTAATTGTGTTTTTTTTGTTTTTTTTTGTTTTCAACACTCATTCATCAGTAATGCTTATTGCATTGTCTGACGCTTGTTCCTTCAGGTGGCTACACATCTTTATAATTTGGTTATCTGAAAATATTCTTCAGTGGTGTTTAGTTAATAGCTGTGAATGAAGGCTTAGAAAATGGTATAACTGCTCACATTTAACTTCAAACGGCAGTGTGTGTCTTCCACTCCTGGCTCGGTTGGTTTAGGTCTCGGCTGAAGCAAAGGCAATATAGAAAAGTTGGAGGCTGTCTCCTGGCAATTAGGTCAGAGTTTACTTTGCTATTGCATACCATTTTATACAGGCCTAAGGGAAGGACAGAGGCCGCCAGAGGCAAGGACAACATTTCAAATGAGACACCGTCATGGGGAGAAATGCATTTTTTATTTTTTTTTAAACATTGATTTAAGGTCGCTCTAGGGGGAAACAAACATGCATATTTTATTTTTGCTGAAGTGGGTCCGTAAGGTTTATTTATAAAGGGCTGTGATATGAAAATAGAGAGGGGGAGGAAGCACTTTTACATCTAGCATCTGGGACTGTACAATAGGCTACATTTTTCCAGGGTAATTGTTCGTTTTGTAAATCTGATACTGCTTATAATTCTTTGGCTGGGAGGCGGTACTGGGATTTCGTTTTAAATGGAAAACGCCTCGGGCTTTTAATTTTCTGAGCCCAGCAGTTTTCAGCTCTGAGATGGAGCCCTTGTTTTCACTCAGTTCATGTTTAGCTGCAGGGGTTTTAGTTTATAGCTTAGGCTGGTTAAGCTTTTGCTCCCAGAGGCCTCTGCATAGCAACTGTACAAATCAACAAATACGTTCATTTGTGTCTGCAGCCTTTCACTCACTAGCCGTTTTTTTTTTTTTTTTTTCTAACATTTCCCAATATCCATTTCCTTACTTTTGTAGCCGGAGAGGAAACAAAAAAAGCTGTGCTAATTAGAGCTTATTTTAATTGAGCCTTAATATTGAAGCTTGCTGCAGTTGCCCCAGAGGTAGTGCCAAGAGAGCGAATTGGATGTACCCAAAGCTGATGGGAGCTAGGTGCGCTGTATGGTATATAAATATATCTATCTATTTTTTCACTTGACCTACAGTTTTATTCCCCTGTTGAATAAATCATCAAGCCTGTTCACATTTCTGATTAAGGATCTGACAGCAGACGATAATAAAGACAATTGAGGTGTGAGACGTGTGATATGGAGCTGAAGAAATTGGTTTCTATAGTGACAAGACTGATTTTCTTTTTTTTTTTTAAAGATCTTTGTTCTAAATGAGTCACATACTTAAAGAACAACCTTTTTCTTTTGCCTTCCCCTCCCACCATTAACTGCGCCTTGTGAACTATGAAATTTGTTGTTGCTGAGCTCCACTTTGCTCCAAGGTGTCAGCGGCAGGTTATTTATGAATGTTTTAAAGAACTTTATTATTGCTTTTAATGTAGAATCCAAGGCGAAATGAGCAGAAACCACAGCAAGAGGCTTTCCTGGCTAGAACAGAATTTTCTTGATGTACATTTGTTTTTTGTTTTTTTGCTTTAGCATTAGTTCAGATAACTAAATGACTAGAATTGCATATGATTTGTAAATATATTTTTTGACATAAACAGAGCTTCTGGGGAGATGGTTGCAACTAAAATGACTGTGATTTATAGATATCATTTATGGAATTAAAAAAAGTAAACAGGCCGATTTTTTTATTCATTTATTTTCTTTTTTGAAAGCTGACTGGGATTCGCGTGTTGTCTTGCAGTCAGTTGGATTCAATCATTTTGCTACTGCGGAATAGAAAGCGAAATGATGGTCTGATTGACATGGATCAGGACCTGACGGTCACGGAAACTGTGTAGCTAGGACATACACTGAGTGGCCAGTTTATTATGACCACCTGACGTTTGTAGGCAAATTAGCTATAATTCGCTATACTTTTGTGCTGAAGTTGCTAGAGGGCCAGACCATTATAAATAGGGAAGCAGGTTGTTTACCACGACAATAGAAGTGATTTTTTTCCCTGAAGATATGGGTAAACAACGCGATTTAACAGCCTTTGAACGTGGGATGATTGTTGGCACGAGTATCAGCAAAACAGCAGAATTTGTTAAATGTTCAAGAGGGGCTCATTGTTAAAGTGTTTAAAGACTGGACTGTCAGCTGAAAATCTGGGTCTGAACGTGCGAATTGTGGCAGTCAGCCACTAGTCAATGTTAGGGCAGAACGGAGAGTGGCAAGACTGGTACAAGACAACAGAAGGGCAACAGTGCAGTGTCAGATTCCTCGCATCACCTTTCAACATCTCGTGGAGTCACGAGGCGGCCCAACGAAGTCATCTCTTTTAGTTATCTCGTGGCCCAACGAAGTACTGATGGGGTGGTCATAATAATCTGGCCACTCAGTGTATATGCATTATTCTTTTTAATCTTGTATTTTTGTCTTTTGGAACATATGTTTACTAGCTTTTCTGAAATGAAAGACCAGACTGACTCCTGATTTCTAAACTGTCTAAATCTTGAACTATTTACAGATTAGTACTTCAGTGTACCTGTCCCTATAATATGAACACTTAAATATTTACATATTCTAATCAAGCCGTAAACACATTTTGAAACAAGCCCCCCCATTCACCTCTTTAGCTATAGGTACTGTGGAGAAATTCATTTATTTTTACAACAGGCACTGAAATCCCAGCTCTTTTTCTGTTACTTTCTATTGAAGCAGAATCTTGGCAGCCTGCCAGCCCTATAATGTAAACAAACAGCAGATGTTCCTAAGTTGTTAGAAAGCTAGTGAACCCTGACTTTGGAGCTTTTCTTGTGATCTTTGAGTATAGTAAACTTCCTTTTAACACGTAAAGCCCAACTTAGAGTTAATGTCCCCACCCATCTTCCTCTCCTCCATTACATGGTTGATGGGAGAGGGGGTTGGAAGTTTACAGAAGAAAGATAACATTGTGCTTTCAGTTCAGTTTAAAGAAAATAAGGATGCTGCATTTCTGGCAAGATCAACTGGTGTTTTCTGTACTTGCTGAAAATGACCTGGTAAGATGGCAATTTAGAATTTTGGATTTCCCAAAAACTTCCATTTGCTGTGACATTGATCAGAACAATTAGGCCTTGTTCACACCAAATGCAGAGCAGATCTGCATGAGTTTCTGCACACGCAGTGCAGTGGGTTTTGCCGCGTTTTGTATGCATTCCGGACCGTTTTTGGTTAAAAAAAACAAAACTATTTTTTGTTTTAAAATGGGCTTTTTAGTGCGTTTGCATGCGTTCCAGAGCAGGTAAAATAGGGTTTGCTGCAGTTTTTTACATGCTCTGGAACTAACGCTGCGGTGTGAACTAGAGTCCAAAATACATTGGACGCAGTTTTGATCCGGTCTGTAACTGCTCTGCTCCTGGAACGCGCTTGGTGTGAACAAGGCCTTAGAGGGAGTTAAGTGATATTAAAGTCAAAACGTTTTTAAGCTGTTTCAAATGCTGTTTCATTTTCAATAGCGCGTACAGCAGCTGAAGTAAACAACTGAATGCTGCACGAAAATGTTCCGAACAGCCGGAGAGGGGAGACTGCTCAGCCGAAGCAGTGAAAAGTGGTTGAGAGTTTTTTTTTTTGTTTAAGTTTTTAGTCCCCTCCCCAATTCATACCAGGCCCTTTTAGTCTGGTAGGAATGTTTAGGGGGGACCCCCGTTATCACCCCTCACCAAAAAGCGTGGGGTTCCCCAAAAGTCATACCAGATACTTTAGGTCTGGTTGGAATTTTAAGGGGGACCCCAACAAGAAAACCCAAGGGTCCCCTCCTAAAATCCCTTACCAGTCCCTTAATCTGAGCAGCCGCCTGGCATAGCAAAAAAGGGGGGGCAAGCGTGCAGCTTTCATAAAGCGGGCACCCAGATAGGGTCCTCAACATTCGTGCCAGACCTAAAGGGTTCGCTATGATTTGGTGAGTGGTCCCCACACTGTTTTCTTTTTGTGTTTTACAATCACATTTTTCATTCTGCTAGAATGACCGAACTGAAACATGAGCCGACCGTTCGGCAATTCACGCTCTGCTGTTTCACCCCTTGGGGTAAACAGCAGGTTATGAACTGCCAAACGTTCGCTTCAGCCGTTCCAGATGTTGCATCGGCTGAGGCGAACTGACTTTTCCCTTTTGGCCAAGACAAAGGGAGGTGAAGAGAACCAAATGTAGCCGTTCTACGGCTACAAATAGCTGTACAGGGCTGAAGTGAATAGCCGAAGAGGCTTCGACTCTCTTCGGTTTGGCCCGGTTATTCCTTTGGCAATAACCCCCTTAGTTTCCTGTACGATCAGCTGGTCCCCTTAGCAGTGGGCCTGTACATTCTGTTTTAGGGTTGCTCCTTTCCTTTGCAGGATCCTATGGACTCACCAGTTGGTGTGCTAGTAAGCTGTGTCTCCACAAACACACAGGCACAGCAAGGTAAGCCACCCATCTGCACCCTGATCCTTATGTTTTGCTGGGCAAAATATATTTATTTGAATTTTGTGTCTATAAATCTTTATTTTGAAGTCTTAACATGATCTCACAATAAATTCCCATGTTTTGGGAAGACTACAGAGTTTATTACTGAGATAAAATTAGACCACATTTGAGTTTGCTGAAAAGCTTGTGGGAGACTAAGCAAATCTAGAAAAAAAAAACCTCTATGGTCTTATAAGGCTAATTTAAATGTTTTGGCCTTCACATGAAATGCTGTATACCAGGCGCGCCCACTATTTTTCGTCTGGAGATCTACTTTTCAAATGACGAGCTCCATTGAGATCTACCAACGAAAAAACACCTGCATTCAGTGGCGGGAGGTTTTTTAAATTTATTTTTTACAATTTTTTATTTTATTTTCATTTATTTTACATTTTCATAATTTTTTATTTTATTCTTTGGGGGGCTTCGGGGAAATATTAAGGGTCTAAAAAGCCCCTTGATATATCCCTTTTAAAATAGAAAAAGAAATTGAGGACACAAAGTCCTCAATCTCTTTTTCTGCAGCCTCTATTCTAAATGAATGGAAAGCACAGAGGCTTCCCATTCATTAAGAAAATATTTTACTATCAAGCTGTTTCTGAATGGGGAGGAGCCTCTGTACAGAGTGCTTCTCCCCATTGAGAAACTTATGAATGAACAGGAGGTGATGTAAATCACCTCCTGTTCATTCATTTATAACTGGGGACACATAGTACTATGTGTCCCCAGTTATTTACAAACACTGGAGTGATCAGCCGATCGCTCCAGTGTTTGTCCTACACAGAGGATTGGTACATACTAGTGACATGTACCGATCCTCTGCCGCTCGTCCACGCACAGGGGGGCTGCAACTTCTCTGGATCCCCCTGCTCTCCCGGGCAGAGGCAGCGGGGGATACGACGAGCCGCGGGGGGCGGAGCCGCTGTGACAGAACGGACGAGCAGTGAGGGGAGAGAGAGGCGCCGGCTGTCAGATCCTGGCCGAGCGTCTCTCTCTCTCCTCACTGCTCTGCATTAGTTAGTGACAGCGGCTCCGTCCTCCGCCCTCCCCCGCCGCCGGTTCCTTCACTTCTTCTCGGATCCCCGCTGGGGAGAGCAGCGGGGATCCAGAGAAGCGGCGGAGGAGAGGACATGGCGATCTACCAGTGATCGCTACCCGATCGACTGGTAGATCGCGATCAACCTTGTGGGCACCCCTGCTGTATACGTTGGAAAGACCATCCACCACTCATCCCCCTAAGAATACATCGCCATAGTGATGTATGGAGATGGTAGCATAATGTTGTCGGGAAGTTTTTTTAATTGGCAAAAGGTGGGAAACTGGCCAGATTGAGGGAAAGATGGATGGAGTCATATACAGGGCAGTTCTAGAGTAAAACCTTTTTTTTACGTTTTTTTTATTTTTTAAGCATGTAGTTTTTATTGGTATTTTAAAGGATGCAATACAAGATGGATAAAAAGTTACAAGAGGAACGATGGTACAACAACAAAGGTATACGTGCCCCACACAATCCTATGAACAAAAGCTGGTTCGTCATGAAGTTAGGAGGCATTATACAAGGCAATCCTCTCCATCAGTAGTATGGATCCATAATAACAGTTCGAACAACTAAACTAAGACATAATACTCAATGCTGAATATTGAACATCCTTAACGGAAAAGGAAAAAAAAGAAAAATAAATGATACTCTTGGTGCACCACAGATTAGGAACAGACCAAATAGACTGCGTTGCCAATAGTCAGTCAAGTTACTATGACAACTGTATCGTTGTTTGGAATCTACCTTGAACATGTGGGACAAGTTGGCCGTCAAGGGGTCTAATGTCAGGGGTGGTGGGAAGGAAGTAGCGGGTGTGTCATGGGGGGGGTTACCAAACGGACAGCCTTCCTACACTGAGTTAGGATAGTTTTCGGCTCAGTGGGTCTAGAGTACATCTAAGCCCCCTAGGGAATTTGAGAGTTTGGCTCTGTGATGCTGTCCTGGAAGACTAATGGAAATAGAGTTACCGGTAAGTCCTAACTCTGAATTTTTTTTACGTTTTAGAGTGCCAAGACTGGGATAGAAATTTACCTTCCAGCAGCACAATGGCCCTAAACAGAGAACCAAAGCCACATTAGGGTGGTTTAAAACCAAGGATCTGGATGTCCTTAGGCCCAATCAAGGCACCAACCTCCACGCAATTGATGATCAGTGGTAGGCCATAAAAAAATTTGCATTTAGTTGCAGATTGTAACGCTACAAATTATGGAAGTGTCCAATAAGTCCAATTATATTCATGACAGTATGTGTGTTTAATATGTTAGAGAGACACACGTGTTGGTGAACAAACTGGGGAATGCTATGATGCTAGGGGTGGGGTAAATTTTCATAGTGCTGAAGATAATATGGTGTTTGGAAGACATCATGGTTCCGGTGTTGGGAATACAATTTTTTTATGGGATATTATGGTGGTGGGGATGGTGAATGGTTATGATTATGGTGTTGGTGGTGACAGGTGGTATTGTACTGCTGAAGGTGATATTAATATAGTGGATAATATTGTGGAGGTGGGGGATGTTATTGTAGCACTAAATGATGGTGAGTTATATTATTATATTATGAATTACGATGATTTATGCTATGGTGCTGGGGGATAGCCTAATAATGCTGATGGTGGGAAAAGATAATATGGTGATGAGGTAGATTTTTATGCTACTATAAGGTATTACAAGCTTAATAATGATATGAATGATAATTATAATACGGTTGCTGGTGGATATTATTATGGTGCTGGTGTTTAGGGATATTATCGTGGTGGGACTTTAACTATTGTTGGGATATTTTATTAGGGCTGGTGGTTAGAAGATTTTATGGTACAGGCTATTATAGTGCTGGGGTATATTATAGTGCTGGTGTTGGAGGATATTCTAGTGCTTCCAAAATGCATACAGCCGTATTCAGACTTGTTGGCCATCATCAGTGCCGTGTATGAATACCATGGCTTCTATGAAGTAGAACATGGGGACCCAAGGAGACCCAGCAGGTTTTTTCGAGAAGGGACTGATCGAATCAAAAACCTTCAACCGAATCATTGCATTAACACAGTTAAACCATCTTAGAACAGAAGATAGTCAAATTTCTTATTCCATCCCCGATAAGAGGATGGAATGGAGGATTACTCATTTCAGGAGCCATGCAAATCATTCCTTTAGGTCTTACCAGAATAAATGTCTCTATAATGTTAGACTATATTTTCACTATACACCAGTGGTTCTGGCTGGTGTAATGGGATGATTTGCATGGCTCCGCCACTTGCCCTGCAAAGAAATCCGGCACACTGGAGGCCACCACATGGCAACACGTTACACTCCGCTGCTGTGTGGGAACCTGAATAGCGTGTACACATTGTACACTACTAATAGTTTTAAAAAAAGGAAAACATGTAAACAATGACAGTTTTGGCAGTGTGTGTGGTCACCACAACACACTAGCCCATCCAATAAAACAGTGTTTTAGTGGATAGCTTAGTGTGAATGGTCCCTAATTTGTGAGGTACATTTGGCAGAATTATCTTTTTTCACATACTGCAGAGATTCTTTGGCTTGTCCTAGTTATATAAATGTCTCCCACTGGAAGCAGACCTGTGTAATATGTGTACCCTGCAGTGAAAATGATTACAAATTGTGCGCTGCTCTAATATAACCCAGAAAATGATCTGTATTATGTGAACCATTGTAATTCAAGAATAGAGATCGCAATCTGCTCATTATTGTGGAATATCTTTTTTTAGCTGCAGCAGCTGGAACTAGAGCAACTGCAATACCGAGAAGCGAATCTTACAGCGCTGGCTGCAATTGGACCAAGGAGGAAAAGACCTTTGGAATCGTCACACCTTCATAATGTGCTGGAGGTATGCTTACATAAGGTCGTCTAATTTTAAGTGTCTGTAATGTCCAGTTTGATGATCAGTTTTTTTAATCCTTGCAAACTACATACTATAACACAGCATGATGACATAATGGGTATAAAGTCACCCATAAAATTTCGCCTCCATAGGCATTTGTTGTGTGACCTTTCTGCCAATCTAGACTTGATGGCAGTTGACATTTTAAAGTGAATCTATAGTTGCTTGTATTTAGAGCAGTAAATTATATGATGATTATATAACAATAGAAGGGCTTAAAAAAACAACCTCTTAACCTCCCCGATAAACTAGTCTATTAAACCACCCTAGTATGCATTAGAATCATGTGGGTGAATCATGTGAAGGAAAAGGGGTAGGCGATCTCTGCACTCCAGCTGTTTTAGAACTAAAAGTCCCATGAGATATCGCAAAACTGACCGCCACAGACTTCTCAGAGGCATGATGGGATTTTAAAATTGTCAGTAGATCAAAGGTTACATAGTCAAGCCCTAGGCATAGATGGGGAGATCAGATGTTGCATTGGGTGAGCCTCCCCTTCAGCACAGATCATGTGACCAAAGGCCAACACTTGTCATGTGAACCACACTGAAGGAAACCTGGAGCAACATTTGGTATTTCAGCCCTTCTACAAGTCTATGGGAATGTAGAACCTGCTTAGAACAGGTTAAATGTTTGGTCAGAATGAAGTCTAATGCATCTTTCGATGAATTCTAAATGATCTCAGAAGAGTCTCAAATGGATGCCATTTCCACCAGCCCAAAGACTGTTACAATGGGGTTTTTTAAACACTTGGGTACACATCCACTTTAACATGTGCATAATAGGAACGCACCAATACCAGTTTTTCGGTATCAAGTACAAGTACCGATATTTTTCTTTTTTCTTTTTTTTTGGGTACACGCCGCTACCAAATACCAATAACAGTATCCTGAGGTACTGTGGATCTGGCTAATCAGGAAGCCAGACGGCAGTTCATGACCCTCCGCCCAGCTTTCTGATTGCCTGGGAAGTGACACTGCGAGGCAGCCTGGCTGCTTAAGTGTTTCTAGTCAGCGGCCGCAGGACTTTCTGATTGGCCAGGAAGCCGTCTCCATGCTTCCTCGCACTTTTATGTTTTACCAAAAATATGGGTATAAATGTTTTATAACGTAGTGTAGAGAAATGTTTTTTTCTTTTACATTTACGGTACTTTTTTCATTATAGAGTTAAAACAAATAACCCCCGAGGTGATTATATACCTCCAAAAGAAAGCTCTATCTGTCCCCAAATTTTTTTTACATAAATTGCAAGGCCATAGTGCGGTCATGCTGACTGGTGACATTTTTGACTGGTGAGACACCCTAAAATTTGTCAAGCCCTGGTCATGTAAATGTTTCCTGTGACATTCCAGATTAAAGCAATCATAGTCTCTCATGTCTGCCTGTCCATCCTTCTCTGCCTGTCCTTCTCAGTCTGTCCTTCTCTATGGGAGTACGTGAGCGTACGCTGCCCTACGCTCACCCGACCTGCACGCCGGTTGATTTGATGCAGTACGTTCTACCCTGTGGTTGGAGGGTCAGCCTGCTGTTCCATCCATAGAATGCAAATACCTTCCCAATACACTTGGTATATATAATATTTATGTAAGAGGTCTGCAAACAACCTATGAAATTATAGATCCTTTTAGACAATGTGAAGGAGCTTTTTTTTGTATTGATAAGTGGTCTCTGCCCTCTGTAGGTACTCCAGTCATCCACACTGCAGTGGAGCCCAGTCTTTGCTGGTATGGGCAACCTAGAACACAAATGCAACTTTTATAGTTTGACCATAATTCTACTTTTAAATGTAATTTTATGCAATAGTACTAATTTTTCAAAAATTTCTTCAAGATGTTTTTCACATTTTGTACAAATTTCTATTTTTAATACCATGCATATATTTTATTATAAATAGAATTTTGTACAAAATGTGAAAAAAAAGTATAAACCTTGTTGGTTAAATTGATAGTTTGTTGTAGTCACAATCCGGTCATTTAACACCTGCAGAAGATTATTCTCTTGCTTGTTGTACTTTAAAAGCAGAAAAAGAGCCTAAAAAATGTCATTGTGTTTGCTCATAAGCCAATATTTATTCAAATCTCAACTTCTTATGCACACTATAAAATTAGCAAAGAACAGCAGTGCCAGTATAGCGAGATTGTGTATTGCATTTCACAGTACTGTCACCCTGACATGTTTCTGATACTGGGGACTGGAAGCAGGTGGGAAGAGCACATGGAGGACCATAGGGGTGATCTTGATTTAGTCCAATGAGCAGCTTTAAAGGGGAGTGGTGCCGCAGAAAGACTGTTAATGGTGGTGTTACACGGTGTAGCTCGCCAGTGTTCTACTGTACATTTAACCAGATAGTTTTTCAGTGCGATGTTCCGCTGGGTGAAATACACTGTCTGCTCTGTGAAATGTCAAGCAGAAGTATTTGATTATACTTTCACCTTTCTAGAATTCCAAAGTTTGAAGGACATCACTCCTTGCTTGCCGCAACTCCCTTGGGGGTTGTTTCATTTATCATGTTGCCTCAGGCTTTCTGCTGCTTCCTGCGGATTTGACCTCGTTTTCAACCCTGTGCTGGCAGCTGTGCTGCATTACTATAATTTCCCTTGGATCACACAAGGTTGTCATATAAAAGACCCGACCTTGTGGCATTGTGTCTTTGGGGATGACGGAGCCCTCTTATTCAGTGACCTGTAGTTAGTAGTCCATTTAAGTACACTAGATTTAAAGCAATGAGATGTGAACCCAAAATAGAAGATTTTCATATTAAGCGGAAGGAAGCCAGAAGCCACTATAAATCTTACCTTACTCGTATGACTGCACTCCTTTTTATCAGTCACATGCATTTCATCCTTTGCAGTCTGATGGGGACACCTTTACCATCCCGTTAGGGAAAAACTCCAGGCAAATGTATTAAACACCTTTTAGGTCACTTATGTCTTCCTGCAAAAGTCAACTAGTTTTCTTTTTCAGCTAGTGTAATTACCTGAAACCTGTCTTTATACTGGCATGCTACAGACGACCTGAAATCAAGGGTGTCTAATCTGCAATCATCTAGTATCTTGTGTCATCTGCATACATTGGTTTAATATCCCTTTATTCTAAATGATCTGTCAAAGTGGTCCTGTCACCACAGAATGAAAGAACACTCTGTAAACAAAGCGGAAATATACTTACATTTCTAGCAGCTCTTGTGTTTTTTAGAAATGAAAAAAAAAAAAGGATTTGCTTTTTCCTGGGAATCAACATGTATTTCACACTTTAAGGTGTGTAGGTACCTGCTTCCCTGCACCACACAGTGCTTCCTACCTCCACCTTATACATCACTATCAAGCATATAAGCCTTTGGGAGGAACCACTGTGTGCAGAGGGAGGAGCAGGTATTTGACCCACCTGAAGAGAAGAAACTGTAGCATTTAACGCACGGGCTGCCAGAAAAGTGAGTATATTACTACTACTTTTAGTGTAATCACCTGAAACCTGTGCTTATAATGGCTTGCTTCTGATTACCTGAAATCAGGGGTGTCTATAGTGTAAGCAGAAAGTAGGGCTGCAACAACTAATCCACTATTTCCGCCAGCTATAATGTAATATTGCTGGGATTTGTTGTATTCCTATATAGCTGGTGGTATTCTGCATTGCACTGTATAATGTACTATTGCTGGGTTTTGTAGTCCTCTAAAGCTGGTGCCATTCTGCATTCATTGCCGTATAATTTTACACTTCATTTCACTACATTGCACACCACACTTTTTTTTGTTTTCTCTTTTTTTCTTCCACCGCTCCAAGCTTGCTCCTGTGATGGACTACAATCTCAATACAAACTAGTAGTTCCATCACTGGAGCCATTTTTTAAAATTAATTTTATTTTTTAACCGATTTAATCAAACTTAATCAGCTAACCGATGTCCGTTTATGGCTAGGAGAGCTTAGTTTGTCACATCCCTTGTGTTTGACCGTTCCTCCAGAAGCGCATTTGTGAGGTCAGGTACTGATATTGGACTAGAAGGCCTGGCTCGCGGTCTCCGCTCTAATTCATCCCAAAGGTTTTCTATCGATTTGAGGTCAGGACTCTGTGCAGGCCAGTCAAGTTCCTCCACCCCAAACTCGCTCGCCCATGTATTTCTGGACCTTACTTTGTGCGCTGGTGCGCAGTCATGTTGGCACAAGAAGGGGCCATTCCCAAACTGTTCCCACAAAGTTGGCAGCATGAAATTGTCCAAAAATGTCTCGGTATGCTGATGCCTTAAGAGTTCCCTATACTGGAACTAAGGGGCCAAGTCCAACCCCTGAAAAACAACCCCACACCATAATCCCCTCTCCACCAAACTTTACACTTGGCACAATGAAGTCAGGCAAGTACCGTTCTCCTGGCAACCGCCAAAAGACAGAGAAGCGTGATTCGTCACTCCAGAGAACGCGTCTCCACTTCTCTAGAGTCCAGTGGCGGCGTGCTTTACACAACTGCATCCGATGCTTTGCATTGCACTTGGTGATGTAAGGCTTGAATCCAGCTACTTGGCCATGGAAACCCATTTCATGAAGCTCTCTACTGTTGTTGTGCCAATCTGAAGGCCACATGAAGTTTGGAGGTCTGTAGCTATTGACTCTGCAGACAGTTGGTGACTTCTGCACACTGCGCTTCAGCAGGCGCTGACCCGCTCTGTCATTTTGCGTGGCCTACCACTTTGTGGCTGAGTTGCTGTTCCCAGTTGCTTCCACTTTGTTATAATACCACTAACAGTTGGCCGTGGAATATTTAGTAGCAAGGACATTTACCACCGTACCACGCTTGAATTCACTGAGCTCCTGAGAGCGACCCATTCTTTCACAAATGTTTGTAGAAGCGTCTGCATGTCTAGGTGCTTTATACACCTGTGGCCATGGAGGTGATAGGAACACATGAATCCAATGATTTCGAGGGGTGTCCCAATACTTTTGGCAATATAGTGTATCTAATCAGTCATTCACATGGCAGTAACTCAATGCATTTAGGCATGGAGACTTGGTCAAGATCTGCTGAAGTTCAAACTGAACTTCAGAATAGGGAACAAATATGATGTAAGTGACTTTATACGTGGCATTGTTGGTGCCAGACGGGCTGGTCTGAGTATTTCAGAAACTGCTGATCTAATGGGATTTTCACTCTTAACCATCTGTAGGGTTTACAGAGAATGGTCTGAAAAGAGAGTAGCAGTTCTCTGGGCAAAAATTCCTTGTTGCTGCCAGAGGTCAGAGGAAAATAGCTGAACTGGTTCAAGCTGATAGAAAATCAACAGTAACTCGAATAACCACTCATTACAACCAAGGTCTGCAGAACAGCATCTCTGAATGCACAACAGGTTAAACCTTGAAGCAGATGGGCTACAGCAGCAGAAGACCACACTGAGTGCCACTTCTGTCAGCTGAGAACAGGAAATGGAGGCTTTAGTTTGCACAGGCTCACCAAAATTGGACAATACAAGATTGTAAAAATGTTGCCTGGTCAGCTGCGACATTCGTATGGTCGGGTCAGAATTTGGCATAAACAATATGAAAGGATGGATCCATCCTGGCTTGTATTGGTTCAGGCAGCTGGTGGTGGTGTGTTTAATATTGCAGGGAATATCTGCTTGGCACACTTTGGACCCCTTAGTAATAATTGTGCATCGTTTAAATGTTACAGCCTACGTGAGTATTGTTGCTGACCATATCCATCCCTTTATGACTACAGTGTACCCATCTTCTGATGGCTACTTCCAGCAGGATAGCGTGCCATGTCACCAAGCTAAAATCTCAAACTGGTTTCTCATTTTAATAAATTCACCGTACTCAAATGGCCTCCATAGTCACCACATCTCAATCCAGCAGAGCATCTTCGGGATGTGGTGGAACAGGAGAGTCGCATCATTGATGTGCTACTGACAATCTGCAGCAACTGCGTGATGCTATCATGTCAATATGGACAAACTTTATAAGAAATGTTTCCAGCACCATGCTGAATTTATACCATGACGGATTTGGGCAGTTCTGAAGACAAATGGGGGTGCCAATAGGCACTAGCAAGATGTACTTAAGTGGCCAGTGAGAGGTCATACCAAATGTTTGCTTCAGACACAGGTGGATCCCTATGCCTGATATTCCTCTCAGATTTTTTTTGTTTTTGCTGATGGGGGATAATTTGGCAAGAGTAGGTTGATAGATATGTTCTGTTTTACAGAACTATCATGCATTGTGTGTATGGTTTCTAGTGATCCACTCTTACTTCCTGACTATGCTAATGTGGAAGACTCTGAGACGCAATTGTTTGCTATACTGTTTGTGCATCATGTGCTATCTTATTGTTTTATTCTATCTTAATTTAATAATAAAATACTTTTGAAAGTTAAAGTGGCCAGTGAGTGTATGTTCCTGTTGCAACATGTCCTCATTTGGGAGTCCTTTATATCAAGCATCCTCAAAGTAAGTTGTGTTTATCCTCCTAAGTGTATATAATGTGTAGTATCTTGTGAAATCCGGATATATTGATTTTAAAGATCTTGAATGAAGGGATTTAAAACCATGTTCTCGGTAAGGCCCCTGCAGAAAAGGCCAAAACTATACGAATTCTATACATTTTCAAATAACTATTTTCTTTTTCTTCTAGGAGTATCAAGGATCTGAATCTTCTGTTTTCAGAATTCCCAAATCAATGTTTGTTCCCAGGATCACTCGTGTTAGTCTCAGGGATTTGATATTTTGCATGGAACAAGAACGAATGAGTAGATATTCCTTGTCCCTGTACCGAGCCCTCCTGAAATGAACTTTCTGACCAGCACGCCATCTTTGCACTATATTGGAGCTTGTTTTGGGACTTCTATTCTCATTTTTGTTTACAGGCTTATTTTTATACTAGTGAAACGCCTTGTACTGATTGTAGTTTTTTTGTTGTTTTATGTATGTTTTTGCTTTAACAGATGAAGATGCCAAGAACATGTGCAATTTGTAGAAATGTTTAATATATGTGCCAACTTTTTCACTGACTGGTGCCTTCATTTGTCAAGGTTTTGGGGGTATTTGGAGTACGTGTTTACACGCATTGTCATTGAAATATACCCAAAGAACCAACTTCCGTTTTGTGTCATCTTTTATTTGGGGAGAGTGATTCTTCAAAAAAAGAAAAAAACAACGTAATCTATAAATGGTAAATTAGTATCAGGTGATGATCCAATCGGTCCTTTTTTTCAGTAATAATATAAAACTATAAATGTGGCTTGTTAACTGTCCTGCAGATAATGCTGATACTGTTCTCATTTAATGAAAAGCAAGCAGCTACTCCCACGCTGCAAGGGTATGGTGCTCATTTTGTCTAGAGTGGTCAAAATAAGCAGGTCTGCTCCCGTGCTGGTTGCCACTTCTTCTTCACTTCATCACACTATTAATGGAGACTACAAAGGGCCTCGCCAATATACAGTACATTGCACAGGCAAGGTGCACTGTCCTCACCATCTGAAATCTTGCTTTGAGAAATAACATGCATTGGTGGCTGGAGTGCATGCAGGTAAGCAGGAAGTGTCTGCGAAGAGACTTCAGGAGATCAGCAGTGTTATGCAACAACGGATGAAAAAAGGCAAAGTGTTTATTTTTTTTAAAAACAATCCGTCAACACAGAGCATTAAAAGATGCTGCTAGTCAGACAGAGCCCCTGACTTATTTCCTGGGTGGAGAATGTTCTGCATAATCTAGCTCTTTTCTCCCCAGTCTTACTGTCCATGGCCTGCCATTTCAAGGAAGATTAAACTTCAGCTTTAAGTTCGGATTTATTTGTTCTTTAGAGTGGGGGGAAAGAAAAAAAAAATTACTGGGGAGTCCTGATCTACCAGAATCCAGGCCAAGGTAAACACTGAATCTCATGGGAATGTGCTCTTGCAAAGGGTTAAAATGTACTTTTGTCAGATTTCTAGCACCCAGCTTGTTTGATGTCACCTGGAGACCAGATCAAGGTAATCTTTCTTTATTAGAGGTATTTGCACACTGTACAGTCACATCAGTCCCCGTCCTCAAGGAGCATACAATCTAAGGTCCCTGTCTCCTATCTACCCAACACTGGGCCAAAGGTTCACCTTCCAAAGTGACAATGATCCTAAGCACATAGAGGACTGCCTTAGGGACAACTCTGACTGTCCTAGAGGGCCCTGCCAGAGCCCTGTCTTGAACATCTCTGGAGAGACCTAAAAATAAATGTCTACCGACGGTCGCCTATACAACCTGACTGAGCTTGAGAGGATTTGCGAAGAATGGCAGAAAATCCTCCAAGCCAGGTGTGCAAAGCTTGTGGTGTCATACCCAAAAAGACTCGAGGCTGTAATTGCTGCCAACGGTGCTTCAACAAAGTAAAGGGTCTGAATACTTGGGTACATGTGATATTTCAGGTTTTATTTCTTTTAAAATGTTCTAAAATTCAGTTTTTACTTTGTCATTATAGGTACTGAGTGTAGATTCATGAGAAAAAACAACTGTAGTATCAGACTGCAACATAACAAAATTTGAAAAAAGTGAAGGTCTGAATGCTTTCTGAATGCACTGTATATAAACATACCAGGGCCAACTTAGACAGGAGCTAAATAACCTACCAGCATTTTTTTGGAGTGTGGGAGGAAGGCCGAGAACCCGAAGGAAGCACATGCAAGCACAGAGAACATGCAAAGATTGTCCTGAACAGGATAAGAACCAGTGCTGCAAGGCAGAAGTGCTAACCACTAAACTGCTAAGCAGGCAGGCCCTACTGCACATTCGTACTCCTTTCCCTAAACTGTGAAAGAGGAGAAACGTAAGAAGCCCATGTGCACATATCCTGTAAAGCCACTATAGACATAGGTGGCTTTTATGATCTGACTATAGACCAACCTTCCATGTGTAAGCACTTAACTAAAAGTGGACCTTAGTTGTGCTGAAGCAGTACATGAAACTAATTAGCTTTTTGTCTTGAATTCCTCCCCTTAAATATCTACATTTCTTGTGCCTTAAGCCTTCTAGCTGTATATGTGCAGTGTGAGATGTTCTAAAACTGCTCGTCAGACAAGATTTGGTGTAAGATCTGGTGATGTCACTACTGAGCTGCTTATCGTTCTCTTACTGGATATGAAGCTGTACCTCAGGACTTGCAGTGCCAGGATCTCCCTGCTTTTGTGTGATTCATTGGGAGGAATTAATGAACGTGTTTGCGACAACATTTTTTAGGCACAAAGAACAAAATGTCATGACTACAAACTTCTCAACTGTGCAGAATATTGGGTCCAACATTTACAATTTTAAAACCCCTCAACTGGCGCACATTATGGAAGTCCTGCCGATTTACTTCTTAAAGTATCGCAAAGATAATTCACCTTCATACACTCAAGTCAGCTGAGCACTTCAGTGCTATTCAGCTGTCAGCCTGGCGGTTCCATGCAAGCCAATTTAGAGACCATTCTCCTTATGAAGGCGTTTAGGAATAAAACATGAACTAGGATAATTTATGGCGTCTACTGTTTAGGTGCTCTTTAATTTAGCTTGGTCTTTATTAATCATAAACCGAGAGGAACAAATTACACATTTTCTTTGAAGCAGCATCATTTGTTTTCATTTCCCTCATCTATTTTTTTTGCAAAGCTCTGCAGTAAAGGATAAATAGAAATTTGATGTTAAATTGTTTGTGAGGTAGGCACATTTCACCCTGTGTTCTGGCACAAGATTAGAGCAGGATTTAGATGTTCTTAATTGTAGCTATTACTGCACTGGGCTAAGAGGCTGGTGTGAGGCAAAAGAGAGTTTTTTCTTCCTCCGGCAATATTAAAGAAGCCAATTAAAATCCGGAACACATACAATTAGCTCTGGTGGAGGCCGAACAGTGCCATATGAGCAGCAATGTAAATAATCTCAAATAACGAAAGTGACAAGAGGGCAGTATTAATTCAGTCAAGTGGCATTTTGTCCTTGGGTAACTGCCAGTAAGACTGGTTCAGTCTAGCAGATCGATGTGCAGCATGAATTAACCAGAGTACATCTAGACTAATAGGGATTCTTACTTCATACTGTACATCAGTTATCTTACCAACCCTCTTTCGTACATTGCTGGGGACATACAGACCGTATGAAGAAACACAAAATTATCTTCCTTCATTCTATGTTGGCTCAAACACATACAGGGTTATTCACAAAAGGGTGAAGAGTTTGGAGAAGGCAGGAGAAGTGAACAATCTAGGCCAAAATAGCTGATTTGGAAAAATTCTCCAATTCAGCTCACTTTCCAGTTCAGCTATGTTGTCCTAGATTGTTCACTTCTGCCTTCTCCAAACTCTTCACCCTTTTGTGAATAACCCTGTAAATCTCATCAAAGCTTAAACGCGTTTCATTTTGTTAAAGCTGCTTCTTTCATTAAAATACCTGGTGGTACTGAAGGAACTTGTTCAGGCAGCTTTATTTCATAGAGTGACAATGCTCTGTCACTGCCTCCCCATTATGCTCCTATGTTGTCACCTTGTCACACAGCCTTGCAATGGGGACTGCAAGTGGAGTCCGAGAAATGCAATGTAGCCATTGCTGGAGTGCATGTAGACATGTGCATATAGAAAGAGACTGCAGGAGATCAGCAGCACTAAGATGCCACAAAGGGTGAAAATAAGTATGAGAAGGACAATATTTAGGATATTCAGGGATTTGATATAGTAAATGTCATTCAGTTAGGGTTTACATCTACTTTAGGAATGTGTAAAGGACTTGCATAATTGCAGCTTTTTTTTTTTTTTTTTTTAATGGGACATCAGGGTCAATTAAATTAATTTAAATGATTGAATATGATGTATTCAGTTCGTATGGAACACCTGAAGGTATGAAAAAGGCTATGTTTAATGCAGCCCAGAATGATGGTGGCTTTACCTGGCTTTGAATCCATGGCACATGTGGATACTGATGAATCATTTAGTACAGTGCCGGCTGTTTTCATGTGGTTATGTAATGGTGTTCCTTCTCTTCCTACCGCTTGTCCGTGTGATCCTGGACAGTTGCCCTCATCTTGCCCTTTTATCATACTTAGGTGTACATTTAATACACATGAAAAGCCGGTGATAAAACTTTTCATGCTTATCACAGTGATACTCTAAGTCCCTAGTGAGATTTTTTTTTTTAATTAAATGTGATAATGCAAATAAGCACTAAAAACAGCGAATATCTCATCCCTTCTCTTCACAGTGATAAGTATACAGAAAATAATAGGAATGTATCTCTTTCATAAACAGTGAACGGCACAAAAGTAGCTTATCATATTGATAAGTATGGAGAACAGCCCCCTAGATTAATCGCCAAATCAGAGTTGGTGCTGAAGGTCTTTTTGTTTTGTGTGTGAAACACCGAGGAAAAAAGCCAGGAAGTTACCATTTTTACAGATTTTCAGGCATAAATGCAGCATGGCTCCGGGGGAATTCATTATCAGCTGTAGAACTGTGTTTTGTTCTATAGATGCATCAGGGAGGACGCATGACATTTATTTTCACAATTTTGTTTTTCCACTTGCAATTGCTGAACCAAATTCGCTTAGTATTAGACCTATTTCACATGGTTGCCTCCATCGTACATTTTTTTTTATCCTTAAAGAGATGGATGAAAATTGGACAATATTGTTTTCCTTTTGGGTAAAGAAGTTTTTGACCTGGATCTGGATAATAGGTGCCACACCCCTAATAATAGTATACACAAGAAAAATTATTTTAAGAAAAAGTGGGGTTTTGAAAGCACCGGATAAATGACCACTCCAAACAGAAAAATACATAAAAAATATATTTATTTCATATAAATCTTAAA